GTACTCTGAAAAATGAGTGCTTAGAAGGGCCGAATGTCAGACGGGCCTGCGTGCCCAATTTGTAACCCTTTGAAAATTGAGTTTGTTCGTTCGTTCGTTCGTTCGTTCGTTCGTTCTTCTTCTTTTTCTTCTTCTTTCTTCTTTTGCTCCTCCTCCTGTTCCTCCTCCTTCCCCTTCTTCTTCTCGTTGTCTTTCTTCTTCCTCATCCTCCTCCTACTCTTCTAGTCGCCAGCCCAGACATACTAACCATACCCTAAGTCGTCAACCCTAATACTTACACGACTTGTGTTTGGGGTACGTTATAAATTAAGAACCGAAAAACGAGATAAGTGGGATACAAGAAAAGCAGGAGATGGGAACGGCGGACGTGAACCGAGAGACAGGAGTAAGACAGTTGAAGTTCGGACCTGGTGGCGAGGGTTCGCATGGATGGACGCCTGAGAAGAATGAACGAATCGTGAATGATTGTTATGTTTCGAGAGGAGAAATGAATGTTTCCCACATGTCTTAATACCGAGTACAAGGTTTCGTGAAGGATAGATGGATGATTCGAAAGACGCTGATAGATTCATGTAGAGTGAGAAAAGTGTGACCAGGTCGTCAGAATTAGCCATGCAGGAAGAACACGAGGACGCGAGAATGTATGCATACGCTATGTTGTGATTCACCGAATAAAAGCACACAATTCAATGTTCGTTTCTGCTGTGTCGTTACAACTTACTGTTCGTCAGAAAGCAATGTGGTTTACCAAAACATACCCCTAGCAGAGCACATTGCACTAATAATACCCTAAAACACTTTTACGTCATGCATGGTAGCTTGTAGTGTCACCATCTTTCGTTCCCCTAATTAACCCAATAATACAGGGCTATATACTTGTATTGCGCCTCTCCCCCACTCTTAAGTTGTCATTCAGAATTCTGATTGCAAATATTCAACATAGATTTTTCCCCCCACTCTTAAGTTGTCATTCAGAATTCTGATTACAAACATTCAACATAGATCTTTACTCTAACTCTTTCTAAGAAACACATTATGGAGCTTGTTCTTCTTCCAGGATCTGAGCGTCGTGTGCACCTCCGTTTTACCGACGAGGCCTAATTGTGTGCAGACTGTTCTTTCCTTGCCTCTCATCACCTACTACCGACAGGCTTGTTATTGTTACCGGAACCCACACGGGGAATTTGCTAGTCCAAAAGCGCACATTTTCTAGTTGAGGCCCTTATGACATTGTTACGAAAATGCTGCCTCTTGGCGCTTTAAACTCTAAGGACTATAAACTCTACGGGCTAAAAACTCAAGAAATCTAGGAGCTATAAACTCTAGGGGCTATAAACTCTAGGAGCTATAAACTCTAGGGGCTATAAACTCAAGAGCTGAAGAAATTTAGGGATTATAAACTCTAGGGACTATAAACTCTTGGGGATATAAACTCAAGAGCTCAAGAAATCTAAGGGCTATAAACTCAATAGCTTTAGGCCCTAATAATTCAAGATTTCCATTGACTATAAATTCAAGAGCTTCAGAGACTATAAAATCAAGAGCTCCAGTTCAAAGTCAAGAGCTCCAGGGACTATAAGATAAAGAGCTCCAGGGGCTATAAAAGAGCTCCAGAGACTACAAGCTCAAGAGCTTAAGGGACTATAAACTAAAGAGCTCCAGAAACCATAAACTCAAACTCTCTAGGAACTATAGACTCAAGAGCTCCATGAACTATAAACTCAAAAGCTCCAGAGACTATAAACTCAAGAGCTCCAGTGACTGTAAAATCAAGAGCTCAATGGACTACACAATCAAGAGCTCCGGGGACTATAAAATCAAGAGCTCCATTGACTACAAAATCAAGAGCTCCATAGACTACAAAATCAAGAGCTCCAGGAACTATAAATTCAAGAGCTCCAGGAACGCTATAACTCAAAAGCTCCAGAGACAATAAACTCAAGAGTTCTAGGAACTATAAACTCAAGAGCTTCAGAGACTATAAACTCAAGAGCTCCATGAACAATAAACTCAAGAGCTCCAGAGACCATAAACTAAAGAGCTCAAGGGACCATAAACTAAAGAGCTCCAAGGACTATAAACTTAAGAGCTCCAGAGACTATAAACTCAAGATCTCCAGGGACTATAAACTCAAGATCTCCATGGACTATAAACTTAAGAGCTCCAGAGACTATAAACTCAAGATCTCCAAGGAATATACACTCAAGATCTCTATGGACTATAAACTCCAGAACTCCATGAACAATAAACTCAAGAGCTCCAGAGACCATAAACTAAAGAGTTCAAGGGACCAAAAACTAAAGAGCTCCAAGGACTATAAACTTAAGAGGTCCAGAGACTATAAACTCATGATCTCCAGGGACTATACACTCAAGATCTCTATGGACTATAAACTCCAGAACTCTAGAGACTATAAATTCAAGGTCTCAAGATACTATAAACTCAAGGTCTCCGGGAACTATAAACGCAAGAACTGCAGAGACTATAAACTTAAGGTCTGCAGGGACTATAAACTCAAGAACTCCAGAGACTATCAATTTAAGGTCTCCAGAGACTATAAACTCATCAAATAATATAAATTTAAGGTCTCTAGGGACTATAAACTCGAGGTCTCCAGAGACTATCAACTCAAGATCTACAGAGACTACTAATTCAAAAGCTCCAGATCTCAATGGACTATAAATTCAAGATCACCATGAACTATAAACTCAAGAGCTCTAAGGGCTATAAAGTCAAGAGCTCTGTGTACCATAAACACACAAATCTGAACATTAGAAGACTGGCTAATAAATGGAATCTTGTCTCTGACGCTGAAATATTTTGGCCATATCAAGAGCCATGGCATATTGGAAAAAAATAGTAACAGAAGACATGGCACCAGGAAGGAGGGGCGGGGGCCGACCAACACGAAGATGGGCACAGAATATAAGTGGCTTTTTTGGATATGAACGTGCACCAAGCGGGACAGCTGGCGAAAGACTTGTGTTTGTTTCAGCCAGACCGTGATGAGAGAGACGTTCTGTAAAGATCCTGTCAAACAATGGTAATGATGATGGTGGTGAAGATACTTTACCTATGTCAGGGACTCGCCAAGCTCATATTAGGCCATGGTTGCAGCTAAAGCTAGTGAAGGACACTTTTTCACGCCTCTAGCGTATTGGGCATATAGGGCTAGACCTATATTCTATAAAATCAATCGGCACTTGGTGGACGATGTGGTCAGCCGCACGCTGGCCATTTTTACCTCCCAGGAATTTACCTGGTACCCACTCAAGGCTGGCTTTTCTTATTCTTAGCATTCACCGGCTACAAACTCCGGCGGAATGTTCTGACTGTTCGTCCATTTCTCGACTTTGGTCTTGTTCCAGAATTTTCGTTTTCTATCAGGATCTATTTTACAGATTTGGCTTATTTGAATGTAGACCCCTGGCTCCTCGCCTCTCAGGCAGATGCACTGCGATTTTGAAGGAAACTCCCCCCTCCGCCTCCCAATTAGTTGCCATGTACGACATGCTTGTTATGGAGGCAGTGGCTCTATTGCGCCCCCCCCCCCCCTCATATAATTGGCTCCCAGAATCCACACAGGATAAGGGTGGGTCGACCTGGATGCCAATGTCATTTTTTAATGTTTGGCTTCATTCGGATTCAACCTACGATCTTCAGATCAGCAGTCGAACTTCTAGCCACTATACCACAGCTTATACGAGGACTCAGTTTACCCAGCAACAAAGCTGAACAACAAACACTTCGGCAAGCCGGAACTCCGCTATAAATAATATCCTCATGGGTAGAGATCATGAGCTGGAATTTCCCCAGGAAAGTTCGATGAAGACTGTGTGCAATGCATAAGCAAAATATCCCGTGACTCGGACTGGCTCTCGTGATGCTGACAAGGATATGGTTGGCATGTAATAAAAGCAGGGACAGTTGTTGGACGGAATCAGTAAACGAGGAACAAGCCAAACAAAGCAATACACGTTTTAGCAGTCACTTGTAAACAAAACGCTGAATAGGTAAGAGCATGTATTTATTATCATAGGCTCTGTCAAATTTACGCTCTGTCTAATACATAGGCTCTGTGGAATGCTTTATGTTTGTTTTTGTTTTCTGCATTGATTATCATAAACAAACATCAGTCTTAATAATGCTCTTGACATAGCTCATTAACGAACGGTACATCTCTACCCGACACTTCACTGAGGTACCAGATGGAAAAGAAGAAGAAGGCATTACCAGTACTATTTATTAGGCAGTGACATTATTATTAGGCCTGACGGTACGTTATCATCTCCAGAGCAGATAGCTTTTATTGATATTATTAGTGGGACTGGTGGTATTTTATCATCTTATCTCTAGCGCGAATGGTTTTCAGCGACATTTTATTTGAAAGAGTTGTATTTTATCATCTTTTTTCTGGTGCTGATGGCTGATAATTGCACTACTATTAGAACGGGTGGTAATTTATCATCTTATCTCTAGCGGCGATGGCTTTCACACCAGCGCCACAAATTTTCATTTCTACCTTAAGTTAAACTGCTTCTGAAGCAAGCTTGTATGTGCTTAATAGTAGAATGTCGGTGTAGGATGTTTAACGAGAGGGAATTGACTTCATTACACGTAATGTTTTCCCACATTACTGGGGTTTCCTCTGCAGTACAGAGCACTATACACACCTTTGTCATGACTCAGACTACTGGTTCTTCTTCTTCTTCTTCTTCTTCTTCTTCTTCTTCTTCTTCTTCTTCTTCTTCTTCTTCTTCTTCTTTTTTCTTCTTCTTCTTCTTCCTCTTCTTCTTTATCTTCTGCTTCTTTATTGTTCTCCATTTCTCCATGTTTGTTCATATTCATTTTTTAACTGTATCTTCTTCACTTTCTTCTTCATTTGCTTTTGCCCTTAAGAGTACAATGTGTTGCGTTGCGGCTCACAGCTAGGCTGCGAAATTTGCACGAGGACTTTCATTTATATGAGAAATAACGTTCTGTGTTACAGATTTACAAATATGAGTGCCATCGTGGTTGTTCTGCTTGTGTCTTCTCTGATGGGTCTGTGTTCTGCATGCTGCACACCCGCCCAGTGGGAAGGGCAGTTGTCTGCTATTGCAGGACGCGCAGAAGGAGCCCGCCATGAAGTCATTCTGGTTTGTTCGTTCTTTAATACTCATTACTTTCACAGCTGGACAGGGAGGGACAGTCGTGGTGTAATGGCCAGGTCGTGGGTTCAAATCTGAACGGAGACTTTTGTCTTCAAAAACGACTTTGGCTCCCAGGTCGACACGGTCTGAGACGGGTATCAGGTAAAGTCCCGAGTGCCGGCTGGTCTACAAAATATAGGCATGGTAAAGGAATCCTTCGCATTTAGTTTTTTATTATCACAATTGTTAAGAAGTCAGTAAAAGAACTGAGATGCAAATGTGATGAAACGCACACAGTGCACTAGTAGTAGAGCTCCAATGGTCAAGAAATATACATGTTTCCCTAAAATTTAGTCCCCTTATGGGATGCAGTTTGTTTTTTTTTTTTTTTTATACGAAGCCCCAACCTGGCTTTTGCCGGTGGCCCTGAATATGGCTGGGTCACTAATGTTGCCACAACAGCTGAAAGGGGTTTCTGGGACCTCTCCACGGGTGATCCTCATCCGCATGGTAGCACTTTGTGTCACTAGGTGTTTATCGCGTGTGTGATGTCCTGGTGCGGTACAACAAACTACCTATCTGCATCTTCCCCGTGATCACTCTAGAAATAGGTTTCCAGGATAAAGTCTGGACAACATGTATAGAGGATCGACGATTCAATGAGAGCTGGAGAATACCTCAGAGGCAAGGAACCAACAGTCTGCAGACAGATAAGCCAAACCTGTTGGGGGGGGGGGGTCAAGCGACTTGAGACCCCCAGGCCCCTTCCCAAGGTTCCAGGGCCTATAATAATGGTGATTGTGATGGTAGAATTTTTCACATAAATAATATCTGGTTCAACCCTTAGTGTTATAATTAAGATATGCATTGTCCATTCTATTTTTATTGTATACTTTTGTCACTAAGTAACGTTAATCTCCACACGCCCCGCCCATATACAAACTAGCTGAATTTTGATTGGTAGTTCCTCAACCTATCACCTTGGCACAATGTTACGTGGGTGTTCCCCAATACCATTGTTATCGTGTGTTGTATATTTCAGCACGCCAGTGCTTTTAACGTTTAAAAAAAAAACATGGATAAACTTGTCCTTACACAACCGCCCTAGAGAGTGCTGCAACTTATGTCACAGGCATTCTCTTTCTCGGAAGGAAAACATAAATGCAAGACATCACAGAAAGCAAACAACAGAGCTGGACACACCCGTAAGCTTCAGAAAAGTCGACCAGCCCAACAAACTTGTGAATGAAAAAAGACCTACTCTATTTTTGGAGATTAAAGTGAACCTATTTCTGTATTTCATGCAATGAGTGTCATTATTCAGAATATTATCCTGTTCAAGCCTTTTAAGACGGGTATTCTTCAATGAGTAAAAGAGATTAACGATGTTACTCACTCTATTGTCGCATCGACTGTATGCACATTACTGTTGGTAATTACGAAATGGCCAGTTCGATTTCAGCTAAAAGGAAAGTGGCATCAGACCGACTTGCGTTGATTTTCACGATGGTATTGAGCATAGAACATAGAACATAGAATTACCTTTTTCTCCTTACAGTCAATGTAGAGTTGCATTGGTTGACGTGTTCACAACCTTCTGCCTTGTGTACTCTCAATGGAACAACTCCCGAATCTCATCCCATCTCCACTGCCTGCTTGATTTTGTGTTCATTCCCACGGGCTGTCCTATGTTCTAGGGGTGTTACGAGATGTTTTCCTTCGACGTCTATCTACCGTGACGAAAACTGTCTCGGGATCGTTTGACACGTTGTCTCCCAGAAGAAAATGAGCAGCTTTCTTGTCGCAGCTGTCTTTTCTGTGAACGTCTATTGTTTGTGGAATGTGCTGTTGTTGTTGTGAGTTGCTCGGCAACCGCAGGCAGCTTCGAATATGTTTATGCTGGACAAGTTTCAGGTTGGGAACGTATTTCTAGGATGACCATGGAGACCTGTTGATGGGTATCATCTCTAGGCCTGATGTGCGGTCGAGTGTGGATCAGCACCGCTGCATCCCGATGTTTAACTCCGTGTTTATCTCCATGTTTAACTTCATGGTTAACTCCATGTTTAAATCCATGGTTGACTCCATGTTTAACTCTATGTTTCACTCCAAGGTTGACTAAATGTTTAACTCCATGTTTCCCTCCAAAGTTGACTCCATGTTTAACTCCATGTTTAAATCCATGATTGACTCCATGTTTAACTCCATGTTTCACTCCATGGTTGACTCCATGTTTAACTCCCTGTTTCACTCCAAGGTTGGCGCCATGTTTAACTCCATGTTTCACTCCAAGGTTGGTGCCATGTTTAACTTCATGTTTAACTCCATGTTTAACTCCATGTTTCACTCCATGGTTGACTCCATGTTTAACTCCATGTTTCACTCCATGGTTGACTCCATGTTTAAGTCTATCTTTATTATTTTGTAGGAGTTTGGTGAGGTGAGCTATGACGCCACCAACAATCGCTCTGTAATCGTGTTGAGTTTCAAAGGTGGGAAAATTGATGACACGATGAAGATCCTCACCAGATATGACAACAGTTCTAGCGTAAGTTATTTGAGTTTCAACAGATTGTTAATTTTTGTAGTTGGTTGGTCGGCTGGTTGGTTGACTGTTTGATTGGGTAATGGGTGGGTTCACAGGTTAGTCGACTGGTTGATTGGTTAATGGGTGGGTTCACTGGTTAGTTGACCGGTTGATTGATTAATGATGGGTTGACTAGGTAATGGGTGGGTTCACTTGTTAGTTGACTGGTTGATTGGTTATTGGGTGGGTGGACTGGTTAATAGGTGGGTTAACTGGTTAGTTGACTGGTTGGTTTGTTGATTGGTTGGTTGGTGTGTTAACCAATTGATTGGTAGGTTGTAAGGTTGACTGGTTGGTTGGAGGGTTTGTTAGATAGTTGATTTAATGGCTGGTTAGTTGGTTGGATTAGCTGATTGACTGGCTGATTGTTTGATTGATTGAACGATTGACTGGTTGTTTGGTTGAAATATTGTTTGGTTGGTTGGTGGGTTGGTTGATTTTTTGATTGTTTGGTTGGTTAGTGGGTTGGTTGATTTATTAATTGATTGGTTGGTTGGTTGTACTAACCGCACCAAAAGAGCTTCAATCTGACAATCTTATATATATATATATAATCTTACATATAGATTATTACGGTCTGAGGACAAGTGGCGCGAGGAGTTACCAGAGAATCTGGCAGACGCTTAACACTGAGGGGAAGGGCGGGACGCAATTACAATCAGACACTTACGAATGCCATCGGAATTGCAACTCTTCGTTTGCTGCTGAAGATGGGAACGGAACGCTCATGGGGGTGTTCCGAGTGCTGTAATGTCAATTCTTAATTCAACATTCTTTAATTCAACATTCTTTAATTCAACATTCTTTAATTCAACATCCAAGTGTTGCAAGGCTATCGAGAAATAAAATAACAGAACAATTCTGTTAGGGCAGATTGGGAAAAAATTATGTAACTGCCTCAACTGAATGACCTCCTCTTCTATAACCTCTTTGGAGGCTGAACGGGGTATCTGGGCTCTGTCTTGTTGGTCTACCGTCAAGACTGAGATTCTGTATTTTATATTATCATATGGTAAACCTTTCAGTAGTATCCCAAACAGAACAAACCCATTAATCGAATGGGTTACGATCAAAGTTCGTAACTCCGCAATATTTGGTTTAACTCTGTTGGGGAAAATTTGGCAGCAAACCGCTTTGCGTTGATTTTGTCAATAGTATGGCACGGTAACCTTTGAAAAGCAATGGCAAACTACTGAACACAAAACTGCTTTGTAAAACTACAAGCAGTCAGCAAATGATGGGCTTAGTTTGTGACGACCTGTGGGTCGTGACCTCTTTGGAAGTCGCACGACCCTCTCACAGGTGTCACCTAAGACCATCGGTAAACATATGTTACCTGAAGATATGAAGTAGCAAGGGAAATAATGTTATGATTCAGGGAACTGTATGAAAGGGTCGCCACAACATGAGGAACTGTATTAAAGGGTCGCCACAACATGAGGAACTGTATTAAAGGGTCGCCAACACATGAGGAACTGTATTAAAGGGTCGCCACAACATTAGGAACTGTATTAAAGGGTCGCCACAACATGAGGAACTGTATTAAAGGGTCGCCACAACACGAGGAACTGTATTGAAGGGTCGCCACAACATGAGGAACTGTATTAAAGGATCTTCTTCTTCTTCTTCACAACATGAGGAACTGTATTAAAGGATCGTCACAACATGAGGAACTGTATTAAAGGATCATCACAACATGAGGAACTGTATTAAAGGATTGTCACAACATGAGGAACTGTATTAAAGGATCATCACAACATGAGGAACTGTATTAAAGGGTCGCCACAACATGAGGAACTGTATTAAAGGATCGTCACAAGATGAGGAACTGTATTAAAGGGTCGCCACAACATGAGGAACTGTATTAAAGGGTCGCCACAACCTGAGGAACTGTATTAAAGGATCGCCACAAGATGAGGAACTGTATTAAAGGATCGCCACAACATGAGGAACTGTATTAAAGGCTCGCCACAACAAGAAGAACTGTATTAAAGGGTCGCGGCATTAAGCAGGTTGAGAACCACTGCTATAAAGTATATTCATTTTTTTTTGCGTTCACCGGCTGTAAACTCAGACTGAAAGTTTTGGTTGTTCGTCCACTTCTGAACTGCTGTCCTGTTTCAGAACCTGAGTGTTGCGTGTGCATACGTTTGACATATCTGACTCATATATGTGTAGACTATTGGTTCCCTGCCTCTCCGGCAGATGCACCCCGACTTCGAAGGAAGCTCCCAGTTAGTCTACGCTTACAAAAGGCTTGTTTGGTAGGCAGTGGGTCTAT